CTGCAGCTTTTAGTTTCTTAAAGGGTATGGGAAGTATATTTGATTCAGGTTCTTTGGGACTTACATAGGAGGCACCATAAACAGACAGACTCTACTGTTATAGAATTAGACTCAGCCACATTCTTAGTGTTTTTGGCCTAAGGATTTGGTTCCAGGGATAGCAATCTGTCTTTTGCTTGGTGTATTTGCTTCTCCATCTGCCTCCCCTTGACTCAGGAGCCTCAGCCCAACTTAACGAGTCTCTCACAAAGCAGCCCCCCATTGTCTAGTGTTGTCAGCATCCGGTCCTCTACCCGCCCAGCTCTGCAAGCAGCCCTTTAGCTCCACAGCTGGGGATTGCTCTGGATCCATCTTCATGATCTGGGGCTCCAGCTCACTCCCTTCTAGCCCAGTGCTCTTCTGCTAAGGGCCCTCCAATCTCTGATCTTTTCACTGATTATTGACATTGCCCACACCAGCCAGGTGAAAGGGCTGAACCCACAGGCCTCTCAACTGCTCAGTGAGTGGCTGTTCACTGCCAGCCCACAGAGGGGGACCCTACCACTCAGGAGAGATGAGGACCCATAGAGGAGCAGTGGAGGGTCAGGATGAAACAGGTGCACTACCAGTGGAGGCTTCTGGGAAGATGTGGGGTTGAGCCAAGTAACGGTGGGAGGGCAAAGAAACTTCTTCTTGGGCTGTGGAGAAAGGAGAAGGATGGGAATGTGTGAAGAGTCTAACTGGGTGGGGTCTGTGGTGGATATCTGGGGCGGAACATTCTTCAAGATGAAAGGTAAGAAGAACAGCAGGCGCCGATGTCACTCACAGTAGGTTGGCCCTTCGTGGGTGACCTTTATTCAGAATCTGGGGTGGTCAGATCACGCAGGTGTGTGATGGCACTGCCCCTCTTCCCCCAGGAGATTGATGGCAAGGCCCTGCTTCTACTGCGCAGCGACATGATGATGAAGTACATGGGTCTGAAACTGGGGCCTGCCCTCAAGCTCTCCTACCACATCGATCGGCTGAAGCAGGGCAAGTTCTGAGAGCAGAGGGAGAGTCTGCCTCCCAGGAAGAAGGGTCATCAGCTCACCCCACACCCAGTGGGCTTCCAGCCACCTCAGCTCACCAGCAGGCTGTGTGGTGCCCCTTGCTGCCCCCTCCCACCATGACACGTCCTTCCATGAAGGACTGAGGAGGAGAACACTCGGGCTCTAGGGCTCTCTCCTCAGCCCTGTCACCGCTCTGAGGTCTCTATTTATTTTTCAAGCCTAGCCTCTCATCAGGAATTTAGACTGAGCCCTTCTAAGTGTTAGAGGAAGAAGCCAGCCCTGGGGCCTAGGAAGATAGGCCCTGGGTTGGCACCTGTGCCCATGTCCTCACCACCTGCTGGTTTGGTGGGGCACCCTGTTGCCCCATGGCTTCTCCCTTCTTACCAAACTCCCTGACTCTGAACTCATGGTGCAGATCTCTACCTTTAAAAAAAAATCTTCTATTGCTAATTTATTATTTCTGGCAAACCCTCTGGTTAATCCTCTTATACCAGTCACTGGGTCTCAGTGGGAGGAAGACTGCCCTGCTGGGTCCAGAGGCCTCTCCAGATGGTCATGTCCTTTCAGAGGGCACTGCCCAAGGGCACTTTGTTTTTGAAATGGATGACCCCATAAGGCCTTGACCATAGCAGTTAGCATTGGAGAAGGAAGGGTCCCTGTCAACCTTCCCTTCTCTCTCCCCAGCAGTCCCTTGCGGTGCCAAGCCTCATCTGTAGGCATGGGAGGAGCCGCTTGCTTCATGTTCCTTACCACAGCTCCCCGCCCTGGCCAGAAATGCTGGTGAAGAAGATTGGGCTCGATGACCCTAACACCTGTGGAGCAGGAGGGAAGGTCTCGGGCTGAGTGACTCTTTCCACTGCACTAGCCACATGCTTTCCGTGAGCAGGTCCACAGCATAGCTACTCCCGCTGCCATCTGGACTGACTTGATGCCAGTTTGTTTATAAATAAAAGAAAAAAATGGTTCCCAGCGTCTTCTTAGTCAGCCGACAGCCAAACTGCCGTGCATTCACAGGGCAGCTCTCTCCCCTTCTCCTGGTCTTGGTTTTCCCATCTATAAAGTGGGGAGTTCAGACACAGTGATTCCCCAAGAGCTCTGCTGAGTCCAGCAATCCCTCAAGATCAGACCATCTTCCAGAGGCACACATAGGTCCCAGTGTCCCGGAGGGCACACACACACACGCATACATGCACACCCTGCCCTAAAAGGCCTGTGCTGGCAGGGGGCTTGGCTGTGGTGTGCGTAGCAGCCACACAAGGCTGAGCAGGAGGAAGCCTCGGTGCCCATGTCTGTTGTTACCCTCGGAGGCCTAAGGAGGAATGCAGGGCAGGTCTGTGCCTTGCCCCATGCACTGACTCGGGGCTGAGTACAAGTCCAGAGCCTGGGGACACAGCCCTGTGGAGGGTACAGAGCCCTCAGGAGGAGGCAGCAGCCCAACTACCAGATCTAACCCAATACTAGCACTTCTGCATTCCTTACTATGGGCCACATAGCCTGGTTTATGTGAATTAGAATTCTCTCAGTCTCCACAGCAGGCAGTGCCAAGATGGAGTTTGGAGCCAAGTAACCTGACTCCAAGGCAGGGGTTCTCGCCTTACAGAGATTCCAGCACTGCCTGTAAAGCTTTGTATCTGCCACTTTCCTTCTTTAGGCCCTTTTCGCTGTGAGAGGGTAGCTATCACCAGTGACAAGTTGTGACTTTTCCCACTTAGCCACTGTGAGGTTCTAACATGGTTGTCAGGAAGCCATTAGGGTCAAGGCTGTTAACCAGAATAGCTTCTGTGTTCCATAAAGTCCCAGGCACTGGGGCCCAGAAGGAGCCACTCATTCAGGATATTCCCAAAGAGAACTTCACTGAACCTGGCAGTGAACTGCAGGGATTGGCCCCACCCAAGAGACACAAGGACTAAGGTAGTAACACTGGCATAGGTAGACAGGCCAGACAGATGTCAAAGCTGGGCCTGATGGGACACAATGGCCCCACATCACCCAACCCCTTTATCACCAAGAGTAGTACAACTTTACAGACAAGTTTTTTTTTTTTTTTTTGAAGGCTTAGAGTGCAGTGTTAATTGTGTGTATTGCCTCATTAAACCTCACAACCACTGCAAAAGTTAGCTATTGTGTTCCTCACCCTCCACCTCCACAGATGGGGAAGCTAAAGCTGGGAAAGGTTAAGTGATTTGCCCAGCACGCACTAGCTACTAAGGGATGCAATCCATGTTTCTGCCTGCTACTCCCACGAGGAACCTTAGCTTTCTCAGCTTTGGCTGACCTTTTAGTGTTGACAGGCTGCACTCATGTGGCATTCCCCATAAAGGTTGCCTAGACAGGGACAATGCTGCCCCAAGCCAGCAGAGCAGTCCTTACAGAGCCATCGTCATTGGGAGCACTTCTCAGTTATCCGGGGGCAGCTCAGGTACTGAGCTCTGAGCTGGAAGGAGCAGGACGAAGGCTGATGTCGCTTCAGACGCTGCCTGCTCCCAGGATGCAGAGTCCTGAGCAGCTCAGCAGGCCCAGTTAGTGTCCAGGGTTTCTGCGAGGGCTGTGCCCAAGGCCATGGCTTCTCTCCAGCATCTGTAGTTGACCCCTGGAGCACCAAGAACAGAGTGTGCACATTAGAGGGCATTTTTTACCCTAAGTAATGTTGTCTTGAAACAGTTGACATTCCGCATTTATCTGGTTTCCTAGGGAACAGAACTAGAAAAGTAATCAAAGGTCAAATTCAGCAGGCAAGGAGAAGGATTTGTTAACCTTGTACTTTCGCTGCCCTAACCTCTGGGGCATAGAGAAGGGCCTGGTAAGGGGGATGCCCTGGAGCCCACTTTTCATCTTGATCCATCTCAAAAGAAGTCAGTGCTCAGTAGAGCCTGGGACTGGAAGTAGGAGCAGAGGCTTCGGGCAGCAGAGCCCTAGAAGTGGCAGCTGGCACACTGCGTGGGTACCAGGCCTGCGGAGGCTTTACAAGAGGGCAGGTACATCTTCAGCCCTGGGGTTCCGGAAGCTGCCCAGCATCTAACAAAGCTCTGGTGGGCAGGCACTCTGTCTGCTCCCAGGGCAGAATCCACTGGGAGCACAGGAGCACTCCTGCCACCTGACCTCCACAGGCCTGCCTATCTGAGGCTGCCTGGGAAGCCATTGTTGCTAGTGAGATCACAGAGGTGGTTGTGTAGGCCCCACCCACTTCCTATAACCTTGGGTCTCACTGCTCCAGTGCCAACCTCCCAAGTGTCCCCGTGGGAGCTGTGGGAGTACAGGGCCAGCACCCCTCACGCCCCTTACCCCTCCAGAAGCTGGCAGGACCCAAAGCTCATGGGCCTCCTCTTTCTGCGCATCTGATTACCCTGACTGCCCCCAACCCAGCCATGGCAGCTCCCAGGATACAATCTGAAAAGCTACAGACCAGTGGCAGCTCCCATGCAAAGCAGAGATTGGTGTGGGGGTGAGTTGCAGGAGTACTACGGGTGTAGACACACCTGGCTTGGGGGGGGGGGGGTCCTGGGCTGTGAGTAGGAGGCACAAGAGCCCCCTCCTGCTCACTGAACCAAAAAGAGGGTCCAAGCTATGCTAGGGGTTCAGAGCAGGGTATAAGCCAAGCAGGGAGAGCAGCCATGGGGCGTCTGGCCAGCCTGCAAAGTGCTGGGCTGTGCCCTCTTCTCCAGAGCGCCTTCTTTGAGAGGTGTTTTGGATGTCCAGAGGTGCAGATTCTCTTTTGGCGGGCAGGAAACCCGCACGCCTGTAGAATAGGAAGGGGAGGCAGTGAAAGGATATGACGGGGCCCTATAGGACCTGGCTTCTGATCCTTTCTGCCCCTCAGTCTTCCCACGGGGTATAGGCTGGCTCCATCCTGCCTGACACTTTCATGCTAGGCCAAGGGCAGATGCCAGGCCCTCCCTCCCTCTTTCTCTCTCTGGCCCTACCCAGCCTCTGCCAAGGTGGGAGCCCCCCAGGAGCCTTGGCAGCCCCAAGTCCCCCAGGAGGCCCTGGGCTAATTGCAGAGCCCAGGGTCCAGGATGGAACAGCCAGCAGTAAGGACCTTCTGAACCCTCCGGAGGCAGACCCTTCCCATGACCCCCCAAAAGAGATCAGCATGCACCTAGATGTGGGACATCCCACGGAGCCCCCAAGCAAGCAGTGCCTGCCAGCCATACCCCCAGAAGAGCCCCCGCCTGAGGACTGCAGCCTGGAGGTGGGGCCCAGCACACACACTCTCTATGTGGGCCACCTGAACCCCCAGTTTTCCGTGCCCGTGCTTGCCTGCCTGCTACGGGACACTCTGGAGCGTCTGCAGCTGCCCGTAGCCCGGGAGGACATTGAGGTGGTGCGGCGGCCCGGGAAGGCCTACGCACTGGTGCAGGTGACCACCCCCAAGGCCACTCTGGCCTCGCTCCCCTGGCGCCTGCAGGTGGCCTGGCAGGAGCACCGGATTCTAAAGGAGCTGGCAGTGCGTGGCAAGGAGCTGGTGCTGACGGAGGGCCGGGGACCCACGAGCCGCAGGGAGGTGAGTGAACTCCACAACAGGCTGCCAAGGTCCCACTTCAAGGGCAGGCCTGGCTGCCAGTGGCCTGCAGAGTGGGTTGCCTCAGAGAACAAAGCTGGCCTTCACCGTTTGCCCCCAGCTGGGCAGCCACATGGGGGCCCTCACCAGGCCCTGTGGACTTCACAGCCTTGCAGCCTGGGTGCCCTCAGGCCCACAGAGGTCTGGACCTTTCTCAGTCTCCCTCACATGTTCAAAAGTACAGAGCTGCTAAATAAAGTGGGAACCAGGCTTGCTTGTAGAGAGCTAGGTGGGCAGGCAGAAGGTCATGGCAAATAGGGGGCACCTGCAAAGAGAGGTGTTGAGTACACTTTGTGCAGAAGGGAGGGAGCATTATGTAGACATCAGCAAGTCCCTGGGGCTCGGACCACAGCTGTAGTTAGCTAGGATGGAGCTAGGAAGGAATCTGCAGGCCTAGCGCTTGTAGGATAGAGAGCATGGCCCAGTCAGGGCACAGGAGCAGGAGGGCAGTGGCAGGTCACCCCCAGGACACCTGGGCTGACTTCTTTTGGAGACACCTGTGGTGTCTGAACTGTTAACAGAACAGCTCAATGACTTACCATTCAACACATGTGTGCTGATTGCATGTTTGTATGACAGCTTTACCAGATTCTCAGACTGGATGGCTGCAGGACCAGGAGTATGCCTCTCACTCTCTGCCTCAGCCCAGGCCAAGCGCCCAGTCCTAGAAGCTTGGTGAACTGGAAGCAGCAGGAAGCCAGCAATGTTTGTAGAAGCAACTATCAGACTGGCATTTAGGGTCAGTGAGCAGGGCATGATGGAGAGTGCCCAGAGTCATGGAGACCTGTGAGGGACTGACCTGAATGGGCATCCAACCTGCAAAGTGGCCAGAACATGATGCCTACGCCCCAGACAGAACAGGAACCAGACGAAAGAGACCTCAGGAGGGACGGAGGGGGTGGGGCAGGCACAGTGGTCTGCAAAAGTTTCAGGGGTTGAGATAGGTGGGGGTCTCAGGTCACCCAACAGTTCAGGGACCTGCAGCCATCACAGAAGTGTTGGAAGAACCTGGTTCTGGGCATCAGAAGCTGATCTGCAGTCCACATGGGAAAGTTCAGCCAACAGGTGTCCCAGCTTCCAACCCCAGGAAGGAGAAATCTCTTCCCCTGACCCCACCCTCTGGGCACCACAGCCCACTTACAGCCCAGCCCAGCAGGCCAAGCAGCAGGTGGCTTGAGCCTTGGGTCTGGCAGCAATGCCCCTTGCTGGCTCCAAAAGGGTGGAAAACATGGCATTCAAGCAGGGCAGCAGTAAGCACATGAACCAGGCCTTCAAGCACAGGTGGGGGCTCTCCCATGCACTTCCCTTATTAGTGAGGGCATCACTGGACCTGAAGCCCCGGAAGGGTACATCAGGATGCCTGTGGTAGGCATGGGCCAGGGTTCTGGCAGTCTCTTGAGGGCTGGAGGAGCTCTGATGTGGCCTCAGTCCAAACACCCTGCTCTTGATCTCTTCCTACCCCACCATGCCCGGCAGGACTGCAGCCCCAGCCCTGGCTCTGGGTTCCAGCCACCTGCTCGGCCTACAGGCCTCTCTCCTAGCAGGCCCCGGGCCTGGCAGCAGCACAGCCCCCAGCACCGGCCCAGTGGTGTACGTTCCGACAGCGCCATTGTCCACCAGGAGATCCTGGGACAGGAGCGGCTCTTCCAGGGCACCCTCCTGGGCAGTGAGACACGTAACATGGAGTTCAAGCGGGGTAGTGGCGAGTACCTGAGCCTGGCCTTCAAGCACCATGTGAGGCGCTACACATGCGCCTTCCTCAACAGTGAGGGTGGCAGCCTGCTTGTGGGTGTGGAAGACAGTGGCCGTGTCCAGGGCATCCGCTGCAGCCACCGTGAAGAGGACCGGGCACGCCTGCTAGTGGACTCCATCCTGCAGGGCTTCAGACCTCAGGTCTTCCCTGATGCCTACACCCTCACCTTCATTCCTGTCATCAGCACCGCTGCCACCAACACCCCCCTCAAGGTGAGCCTGTGGTCCGCCCTGTCATCCTTCTTCACTCAGGACAACCACAGCCAAGGAGGTTGGGGGAATGGTCTCTCTGGGGCTGCAGAGCAATGAATGAGGGGCCACCTGAGAGTGGGAGACTGCCCACAGCATGGGGCGACACGCAGTCTACCATGGTTGCCCTACCCAGGTACTGCGCCTGACTGTGCACGCCCCCAAGGCCCAGGGTGAGCCGCAGCTCTACGAGACAGACCAGGGCGAGGTGTTCCTGCGCCGCGATGGGAGCATCCAGGGCCCACTGTCTGTCAGTGCCATCCAGCAGTGGTGCCGGCAGGTGAGCAGGGGCCCAAGCTGATCCCAGGCCCCAAGGCAGCTCCCATGTGGCCCTGGTCCTGTGTTACCACACAGCATGGTTCATATTAAAATAACACCAGCTCATTCTGTACCCCACTGCTCAATGGTGGGAGGCAAAGAGACCCAGGCACCCTCCTTTTAAAAATCTGTACCCATTCTTCTTCCAGCACCCAAAGCCCAGCTCGGGTTTTTGGTGCACTCAGGTATCGAGTGGTGGGGAGTGGGTACCAAGCCCCCGAGGACCCAGTTTCACCTTGTAGCGGACAGGAGCACAGCCACAAGCAGAACATTTTTAAGAGGGAGGAAGGAGATGGGGAAAGCAGGGAGCAAGGAGGGAGGGAAGGAAGGAACAGGGGTGCCAAGGAGGATGGCCTCACCATGAAGTCCCACACGTGGGTGTCTTCCTTTGGGACCCCTTGGCAAACTAGAAACAGTAAGCATGGCCAACAGGTCTGGCTCCCCCCAGCTGAGAAACCCCAACCCCCCAACCCAACCAGGGCTCAGGTTCTATCACAGGTGGTTGGTGGGCAGGCCTGAGACCTTGGCAGCTTGGCCATCTGCTCCCGCACTGTCCCCTCAGAAGTGGATGGCGGAGCTGGGCAGATTGGAGGAGAAGGTGAAGGTGCTGACGGTGGAGAAGGAGCAGCTCCAGCAGCGGCAACAGCAGCGGCGGCTCTGGCCTGTCTCCTGCACCTGTTGTGTCCTGTGAGGCCTTGGGGCAGCTGGCAGGTGCCACACTTGGCAGGGAGAGCCAAGGAGCTCCTGTTCGGGTCTGAGTCCTTTGAATGCCACCCCAGTGAGCCGCCTGGAGGTGGGCGGAGACCCCACATCCTGGATCCCTCACCACTACACATGGGATGGTCCCCATGTGACTCCAGCCCCAAACAGGCCCCAAGCTGACATTGCTCTCCACATGATCCCCACGGAGCTTATGAAGATGAGGCCAGGCATCCCAGGGCCAAGCTACAACAGTACCAGCCTCCATGAAGCACTCATCTTGCCCCAGCCCGGGGTCTGCACTGGACCATGTGAGAAAGGGATGGTCCCTTCAGGCGAGCCCTACAAGGGGGTGAGGCCTGTGACTGATGCTAACATATGGCTTCTGGGTCCCACTTGTGGGGACGTGAGGCTACCCAAGCTCCCTAATAAATTGCACACACCAGGGGCAAAGTGGTTCTTCCCAAGACTCTTGGATGGCAGGTCAGATGTTTGCTGGGTTGTGTGTCCCATGGCAACCAGTGACCCCCTGACTCCTACTGGCCAAAAGCCACAGCCTGCGGTGGGCTGCTACCAGAGCTGTGGGTGAGAGCCCAGCCGGCTAGGCAGGCTCTCCAGGGGACTGCAACTAGGTACTGTCGCTTGCTTCAGCATCACCCCTATGTAGGGCAGTGGTTGGGGCCAGTACCCTAAGGGCAGCACCTGTGCCAGCAAGGCCCAGCTTCCACTCCAAACCTCCTCTGGCCCCTGGAGAGGACTCCTGCTCTGTCCATTTCCTCCACTTTCTCCATCAGCAGAAACAGTCTCACCAGTACTCAGAGCCCTCTGAGATTACCATTTCAAGAGTAAGGCCAGTTTTAGATGGCTCACATTCTGCCCTGCCTGCCCCAGCTCCTCTGACCCAGTCATGCCCTCCTGCCCCAGTGCCTTAGCACCACCCTGGCTGTCCCTCTCCCCCCACCAGAAATAGCTCTCCAGACCATTGCAGGCCTCACCATTGTCAGGTTTGTGCTCGCCTGTTATCCAGTCTTGTCAACCACGGCTCCTTCCAACATGTCTGCACTCGATGGCCTGTGCCCTTGAGGGACTTTTCATTCTCGCCACACCAAGACACATACATGCACAGTAGTCAGGGGTCAACTGTGCTGACCCCTGCAGTGTGCTCAGAACCAACACTAGGACGTGGCAGTCACCCACTTGGTTTTCCTTAATAAAGGATACTCCTGAATCGGGAATCTGAGCCAATAGCAATTCCAGAAATCTTGTTAAGAGTTTTGTAGAAAAGGGACTTGGGGAACCACACTGCACTTGATCCCCTTCCACTTCATAGATTAAAGGCCCTTGGTCACCCCCATGGAACAGACATCACAGATGAACTCTGGCACCATAACCCTTCTGTGGGCACCCAGGCGTCCTCCCTGGGCTGCTCCCTCTTACCCACAAGGACACAACCCAGGGTGGGTCCAAGGCTCTAACTTAAGCACAGACATGTGCACCCTGACACTTCCACACCCCCTGACTCTGGCCAGGCTGGCCCAGTGTGTCAGGGCAGCAGCACCCACGGGTAGGCTCAGTGCTCAGTGTGAGTGCAGGCAGCAGTTCTCAGGGCATGTATGCATGGCAGGGCAGGGCACAGCAAGAATCCCAGCTCCAGTCCTTGTCTTTTTTTTTTTTAACAAGCTCTGGGGAGCTGGCCGGTGTCCCTTTTCTCTAGAGCATTATGCAGATGGTCAGCACCTATCCACTGGTCAGCTGTGGCCATCTCCTTGTCTTTGTTAAGATGTATTTATCTGGAAAAGTTACAGAAAGGGAAATGGGGATCTTCCACCTGCTGCTTCATCTCCCAAATGGCCACAAAGGTCAGGACCAGGCCAGGCCAAAGCGGGGAGTCGGGAGCTCCTTTACGGTCTCCCACATGGGTGCAAGTGCAAAGCACTTGAGTCATTCTCCATTGCTTCGCCAGGCAGGTACATTAGCAGAGAACTGGATCAGAAGTGGAGCAGCCAGGACTCAAATCATCACCCATTTGGGATGCTGACATCTCAGGTAATGGTTTGTCTGCTATACCACAGCACCTGGCTCTGCTGGGACTATCTTTTATGGGCAGGAACTTAAGTTAAGTCCTTGCTGTTGTCAATGATGCCGCTGTCACCAATAAGCCTGCTGCACTGTGATGCAGGGGATGGTGGGACCACTGGCAAGTGGGAGTGTGACTAAGCACCAAGAGCAGTGTTATGGCCTCAGCAATTAAGGACCTGGGGCTCACTCCAAGGGGCCACAAGGTTCTGGCAGGCAGTGGGTCAGGGAGTGGAACTGGGTCTCTCCTGTACCTCTCGGGTACCGGATCTGGGGCTACAGAGAACCAAATGACTGCTCCACCCCACCTCCACCCAAGGCCTGTTCTGCACTACCCTTTCCAGCCAGTACCTGGCGCCAAGGGCACCAACCTTCTGCAGGCTACAACTTGGATCTTCAGCTTCTGGGCATGAACTCAGAAGCCAGCGTGTGAGGAAGAGCTGCTGCTCCCTGCCGTGCAAGGAGCCCAGGGAGGGGTCCCCAAACCTCCCCCAGCCCCATGGGCAGCCACTTCCCTCTTCCAGCCTCATGGGCAGCCTTCAGAACCGGCACTGCTTTATAAACCTCAGCCTCTCTGCTCAACCTGTGTGGACAATGCTGGAGCCATCTTGTAGGAAGGCTCCCTACAGCACAGACTGGAACAGATAGCATGGGGCCATCCAGGCCTCTTTCCCCTGACCCTAGGCAGCAAACTAAAGAGGCTTCACCACACCACCTCCTGCTTGCATGATTTATTTAAGTTAGAGCATACACCAAATTCAGCAGCAGGCAGGCAACGTGGCAGGACTCTCAGGGCCACCATGTTAATAAAATAGCTTTCATGGTGCATCTCCATCCCAACAGCAAGCCACGCCTTTGTGTCCCAGCCATTGCCAAGGGCCGCGATAAGTGACCCCTTGATGCAAGGAGTGTCCCCAGCTCAGGAAGCAGACTGAAGAGGGACAGACTCAGCTTCATGGGACACCAAACTGACCTGACCACTGAATGAGGACCAGCCACGGTTGTCCCTAGGTCTCCCCAGCCCCGGGCAGGTCTGAAATGTCCCAGCTCCTGGTGTCAAGCAGTACCCTTAGGTTCCCAGCACCAAGCGCCCCAGGTCCCCACAGGCAGGGCCTGGGGCCTGGAGCCATCCACACAACACCTCCCAGTGGCCTCAGATCCATGGAGACGTGAGGTTATGGAGACACATGGCACTTTGCGAGCCTCTGCCCGCACCTCCATCCTCAGTACTGCGTGTCAGATGGCTGCAGCTCATCAGAGACCCCCGAGGACCACAGAAGAGGCGTGCTTTTCCAAGAGGCTGTGCGCTGAGCACACATGATGGACATGCAAGTGACAAAGGTTTCCACATACCTTTCCCCCATAACAAAATAATCTTAATAAAAACATAATTTAAAGGAAGTGTCAAAAGCCAAGTGTCAAGTCAAAGCTGTAAACTCTACCAAAGTCCAGAGGCTTTCCATCATCCCTGTTAAAAAGAAAAAAAAAGAGCAATTAGTAGGCTATTACAGAAGTTAAAGACTCATAGTCCACCACAAGGCAGCCAAAGGGGATACCTCCTGCACAGACCAGGGAGCCACCTTCCTGGTGGCCAGAGTTCCCCACACTCCCGTTCGGGTCCCCTGTCAGTTTCAGACACTGCCCCACAGCCACAGCGGTCAGGGCTGGGTAGTCCCTCCGTGAAATGCTGTGAGCACACCTGGATGCACCAAGGCCCTGCTCCTGTTCCTTGCCTCTGCGTGTGCCCATCAGCCAGGGTCACCTATCTCATGCTGGCACCAGTATTGCTCCAGCAGCCTGGACTCCAGCCCTCAGCCTTTTGGGCACCCTCACAAGCAGACCCTGCCAACATAGACCACTCTAGACCTAAAGGACCAGCAGCAACTGTGGCCCCTGCACACTATATACTAAGAACCCAGCTGGGTCCAGGAGGTCAGCCATTCCAGGAGTGCAGAGTGGCTGGGAGGGACTGTCAGGGTATGCAGCAATCCACACTAAACAGTTGTGAGCTCATATCATAGAGCTTAGACTTCAGAGAGTGCCACATTGTCAAACCCACTGCCACCTCCACAGTCTACAGCCACAAGAAGCAACAGGGCCGTAGACTCCAGGCCCCAGATCCAGTACAATAGCTCCTGCCTGTGGCTGTCAGCAATGACATCAGCACACCTGCACCATGACTGAGGTCACACACATTGCGACCCCTACTCAGCACTAAACGCTCAGTATCCTTCCATTACTAGCATCTTCCCATCTGCTTAAGTTTTTCCTCAATTAGAAACATTTACAGGGACAGCCTTGGCCTGTAACACAAGCATCCTACATGGGTGCCAGTTTGAGGCCTGGCTGATCCACTTCTGACCCAGCTCCCTGCTAAAAAAACTGGGAAAACAGTGGAAGGATGCCCCAAGGCTTCAGGACCTGCACTTGTGTGGAAGACCCAGAAGAAGCTCCTGGCTTTGGCGTGGTCCAGCCATGACCACTGTGGTCATTTGGACAATGAACCAGTGTAAGGAAGATCTCTCTTCTTCTGCCTGTAACTCTTTCACCAAAAAAAGAAAGAAAGAAAGAGAAAAAAAAGAAAAAAGAAAAAAACCACTTACGTTCCCAACTCAGTCATGATTTATTGATGGGAACTTCAATTCAGTGATTTCAGAGTCGGGGGAGCTGCTTCCACTTCGGTCACTGTAAGTGTCCCTGCAGAATTCACATCGTTTACTCATTACTTACGATCTAGAACTTGGTGTCCTTCCCTATCTCTGTGACCACCATCACAACAGGGACGCCTCATGCCACCTGCAGCACGGGACTACAAGCAGGGGCGCTCCCAGGTACCAGGCATGAGACCCAGCCCAGCCACTCCAAGTGGGAACAAAGGCAGCAAGAGGCCTCCCACCCCAGGGTGTGTCCTTGTTCCTGGGAATACAACAGCACCCATTAGCATGAGCCATGGGGTCCAACATACTGTGCTGGCAGCGTCAGGGACTGTGGGAAGGGACCATACAGGCCGATACAGTGACAAGACCCCCTGTGAGCACAGCAGCCCTGGCACAGTGCCTTCTGACACTTCCCATTGGCAGCCAG